TGCTGTGTTCTGGGTTTGAGGGAGTGATGGGGTTTTTTGGTAGCAGGGGAGGGGGCTACAGTGCAGCCCCCTATGAGAAGCTTTTTGAAGCTCCCCCAGCTGCAAGTTGGATGCATCTTTGCACCAAGGCTGAGCCAATTAGCTGCACCTCTACAACAACGTATTTAAGAAGGGGAACCTGAAAGGAGGAGGTGGAATCGTAAGAGGAGTTGTGAGGAAAACATCTGTGTGAACACCAAAGTCAGTAGAAGAAAGGAGAAGGGGGGGAGGCGTGCTGTAGCACAGACCCCCTGTATCCCGTGGTGAGATGGCAGGGTCACCTCCCTGCCACCTGTGGAGGTCACCAGTGGAGCAGAAGACAATTTGCAGCCTGTGGGGGCACTCACACCATGCCAGGTGACTGAACTCGAAGAAGGCCAGGACCCCATGGAAGAAGGCCCTGCTGTTGTAGTTTGGCACTGGGAGGACTGCAATGTGGGGAGGTGACCCACATGCCTGCAGGAGTGACTCATATTGGAAAGAGTTTGTGGAGGACTGTCTCCTGTGAGAGGCAGACCGTGCTGGAATGGGAGGAATGCCAGAAGTTCCTCTTCCATCCCCCTGAGGTGTAAGAAGGGTAGGACTGACCGCATCCCTCATTCCTTGCACCCTGTGTCACTGAGGGCAAGGAAATAGAGATATCAGGAGCAAAAATGAGCATGGAAAGAAGGGACAGATGGGGGAAGGTGTTTTCAAGATGCAGAAATGCTTCTCATGGTCTGATTCTGTGTCTATTAAGTGCTGTTGTTGTTAGTGTCTGTATTAAATTTATGTTCTTTTTTTTCTTCCCCCAATGAGTTTGGGTTTTGCCCATGACTGTAGTGGATGAATCATCCCTCCCTGTCCTTATCTTGATTCCTGAGCCTTCTGCTTTACTTTCTCCTTCCCAGCGTGGGGGGAGAAGGAGGGAGTGAGCAGCTGTGTGGTACTAAGCCCTCTGAGGTCAAACCACAACAGCTGGGAGAAGTAGAAGTTCAGCAAGTATTCACGGCAGTGTTTTTTAGCCCATTTTGATATAAAACCTCCAACACCTGCCATGACCACCAAGGAATGACTTTCCAAAATTGGATTCTGATTTTTAACCCCCTATACTCTCCAGAACTCCCACCTAATCCAACCCCATCAAATTCTCCTTCGCAGCTTGCCAAGCTCTCTCCCAGTTGTTAAAATGTCTATGAGCCAACTGCAACAAAATTCCTTAAAAAGCTAATTCTCTGAGGCAGTCACACAAAACCCATCAGATATTTCTGACAACTCAATGACACTGGGGGATTTATTATTCCAAGGCAAGTGAAGCAGTAACCAAACCTTGACAGTGTTTTTGTTGTACTTTGTTGAAGCTTCCCATTGCTTCTTGGGAAGGGAACAGGTAGGAAGAGAAAGTAAACAAAAAAGAGGCTGTGTCCAAGTAGAGAAGTCCTTCAGCTGAAATAAAAAAAGAGATGCTGCTGTTGCATATACAAAATATGAAATGTCCGGTACATAACAGGTTATTAGAAGGGGGGTTGGGGACACTTAACCCCAACTTAACTTTTTTTTTTCCTTCTCTTTTACTTTCAGTTCATGAGGAACTGACCCAAACAACCACCATTAATGAATCCAGCGGTCAGAGGGAGAGACTCAGGTCAGCAGGCAAGGTTAACACCCACTTGCCTATGTATAGACATCTGTGAGCACCACAACCTTCCCATTCACTATCACAACCCATGAATGCAGCAGTTACGTTCTGAAATACAAAGCCAAGTTTTATTTTTAGCATGGAAAGCTTCAGGAGAAGCTGATGACCTAAACCAGCTTTTTTCCATTCTAGAAAACCTGGCTTTCAGAACAAAAGCACATAAGAAAGTTTCAAGAACAGCCTATCAACCCTTCTTGAACTGGAAACGTTTAGAAACCATTACAGCAATACACCAATACATCGAGGAAAAAGGAGCATAGCAAATGCCTAACTTCACTAAACCCACTCTTACTATACTCGCGTTTCTATTTAGTTTTCAAAGAATAGTTATACAGAGAACACACACACTTCTATGGCAAAACTATGGGGTAAAAAACTTGTAATACATCTTCTATTACAATCTAACAAGAGAAAACAGAACTTCAACTTCACATTCCACACCCACAGAGGTTTTGTTTTCACTGTTATTTTGGGTTTTGTTTGGTGTTTTTGGCAGGGGGCGGTGGGGTTTTTTTGCTTTTTGGTTGGGTTTTGGTGGGGGTGCTGTTTGGTTTGTTTTTTTCTTTTTACCACATACCTCAGAGTAGGCAAATACTTATGGATGTGAATGTAGAGAAGGTTTGAATTTGGAAAAGTTGCTGAGACCTTACTGGTGAAACAAATCATATTCCCTGCAAATCCTAAAGACAAAAACTTCTTCAGAGGACTGACCCGTGTTTCGTTTTGAATCATCATGACCTGGATCCAGCGTGGAATACTAAATGCAGGCAATAATTATTAACAATAGTGCAAAAAAATGCTTAGGGCACCTTTAAGAGTGAACTGATCAAGAATGATCTGAGGCTGGATGCAGTCACAGCATGCTTGTGACTCTGTGGGCCTTTACTTGACCCTGGGAAGGAAACCCTACTCTCAGGAATAAAATTTCCATGAAACATCTGCTGAAAAATTACTTTCTTATAGTTTGACTTGGTATCAAATGACCCACATTCTGATGAGATTTAAGAATTGTCATTTTCTCTAGATGAAATCCAGGGGATTAAAAAAAAATTTCTCATTTCTGTAATACACTGAATATTGACATACTAGAAGGAACTATCAGAAAAAAAAAATCCCACCAGTGTTCCCTCCTATGTCAGATCTTTTAATAATAAATAAATAAATAATAAATAATGTGAAAGGAGAGAAGAGAGATTAAAAAAAATAAACTTTCCACACATTTTACAAATTATTGTAATTTGGGATTTGCTCTGGTTTTTAAGCAAATGCCAAGTTCAATATTTACTTTGATGGAGTCTGCACACAAAACAAAATCTCCCATATGACAGACTTCACTTGCACATCAGATCATGATTAGTGCAACCTGGATGACCACATCAAGGAGGACAAGACTGTCCAGAAAAAGTAGCACAATCCAGTATTTTCAAAACATAATCACTATAGCTCAACACAGATATAGCAGAAGACTCTTTCCAGCTAAATATTTCAATACCAAACTGCAAACAGCTTTGTAGGCTGACAACAATGCTCAGATAAAACAAATTCTACTGCACACCAAGGATAATTAGATTTTATGTGTAAACAGTAAACAATTAGACAAAATTCATGTGTTGGGGCAGGTAGAGAGTGAGGAAAGAATAAAAAGACTACACTGACATTCATGACTGATGCAAGTGGAACCATTATTAAGTTTAAATGCAGGATTTTTACCATGCAAAAGCAAAGGAACAAATACTATTTTGAACAATGACTTAAATTCAAAGCAAATTCACAAAAGAAGCAGTCACAAATGTTTACAGCTCTGACACTATGAATCAAACGAATGTTTCCCAGTTGGATTTGTACCATCCCCTGCAAGGCTCCTGCAAAGATACTTCTATTATCTGACTGATCGTTACTTTTCCCATGCTACAATGACTGAGCACCAGCATACTGAATTGACAGTATGATGTCAATTCTCAGTAACAGCATTTCTCACACTCTACATATCCCTCTACCATTGGTTCTAAGACTTAGCACACTATTTCTCACTATTTCACTGGCAAATTTCTATATATCAAATAACTTTTTGCCACATAAGTGGCACTCAAGATTAAAAGTATGTGGGGAAGATGAAGCATGTAGCAATGCCTAACAGCATTATAATCTAGACAAAGCAAATCTAAGAAAAATGAGTAGTTAGCTTTTCTCTATCCAATTCCCGTAACTCAGGTTACATATTGGTTTAAACTTTCCTATCTCACTGCCTACATAGGTTTCCACAACATAAAGGAACTTGTAAGGCTTTTTAGGATACGAAGACATAAATCAGCTCCCTGTCATGGGTTCCTGGGTCTACACAATGCATTCCCTTAAATGGAATTTTAGACAGCAAGGTCTGTAATGCACATGATTCTGATTTTACATGTCTCATTTGAGTTTTACATATGGCTCCTTAAGGCTTTTGTAGTGCTTACTACTTCTCTAGTAAGTTCTCATGTCCTTCTCCCCTTTTTTTCCCCCATTTCTGCCTTCCTTTCCCAAATGGATAATATATTTTGTTTTCACCTCAATTTAGCTTCTTAATACCTTAGTTGCAGCCTATTATAATCTCTGAAGTTGATTCATCTTTCACAAACTTTAAAAGCAACCTTTTAAGCATAAAGTTCTGTGGGAGAAAAAGTTACAGGGCATTTGAAAGCAAGTATTATTAATTATCAAAATAAATAAATTTGAATTATTACCATCAACTGAAGTCCTACCTTCTGATTTTTCTACTTTGAAATGTCATGCTTCTGACACAATGACTCTACTCTCTGGAAACAGTAAACACGCAAATCCTGAAGATGCAGCAATGAATAGAAGCCAAACAGACCCTTCACTAGGCAGAGAAGCTTCAGCATTTTCCCAGTAACATGCAATTTAAAAAATTTGGTGGCGTACAGAGTTCTTCTTTAGTATGACACATGGTACGGTTTACTGAGTGCACCAATATGAACCAGTCACCCCACTCCATTACTCTGAGGCTTCCAGGTAATGACACACATGTAAGAACATCTAGTAATATTTGAAGAATGCAAATAAATATGCTTCAGATAGATAATCCACAGCTGCCCATAGCAGGGACTTTTCAAAGGAAATGTAACTTTGCCTTTGAGCAGCTATAAAAGCTTCAGTGATGACTAACACTATTGATATAAGCATTACAATATTAACAAGCCACCACTGTACTACACCCTGTTCATTAGTGATACAGTTGTGCTATTATCTCAAGAAAGAGACAAGGCAGAGTGTGCTTACTCACCCTTACAAGGCTGGGAGCAATACATGAGCATGGTATCTTGACATTCTTGAGGCACTTTTCATGAGACATGAAGTTGCAAACTGTGGAAATAAAATAAGAACCATGAACAAGTCTTCACAAAAAAAGGAACTTTGTGAAAAACAAACAAAAAAATATTATGTAGTCAAATACAATTAGGAACACATCTTTTTAATCACATTTGCTCTTACCTAGGTTTGAGAACATGCACTGCAAGAATTCTGACAGTCATGTGTGAATTCCAGCTCGTTTTGTTACTAAGATACTGGCTATGAAAGGAAGGAGAGTTTATCCCAATGCATTACAGGCCTACAGCAAGTCATGCCCTCCCACACTCTATGTCCATAAGCAACAAAATTACCTCTTAAATTGCAAAAGAGATTTTAAACAGTCTAAAGTCCAAACTAGCTCTCTGATGTAGCCACAGCAGATGGACATGTTTGACATTTAATTATTCTACAAGCTAGTGTATGTGACAGGAGAAAATTCAGTATTATATTGTTACACACTGAGCATAACAGATGAAGGAGATTAATTTAAAGATCACCAGTTGCATGCAGCTTTGAAAGTCAAGAGCAATTAATTATTTCTTTTACTGTGGAAGCAGCAAGTTTAGAATTTCACACAAGTTTCACAAAGCATGTTTTCAAGCAAGACAGCATTTGAAAAAATAATTTCTCACGGGGGTGATATTTTCCACAGCTTACCATGGATTTACATGACATTAAGCTATGCAAAGAAAACAAGGGATTCTTTATTTCATTCATATCACCTCACATTATTTAGGAACTAATAAGTCATGCAGCTATGGCTTTAGAGTCCTCCTCTCAGAATTACTCTCTACCAGTTCAAGCATGAAGCTTCACACAGAAGGTTTTTGCACATACCCTCCTTTTAAGAAGCATGCTGTACCACTTCCTAAAGTTCACCAGTAACTGAAAAAACTCCCATTTGCTTCAAGTTTCCCATCTGCAGCCCACTGCCGTTACTGACTATATGTGCTAGTGCCATCAGAAGCGAACAATTTTCCTCTCCTACCCTTTCTCTAGCTCACGGATTTTTGATTTCACAACGCTGCTTCGGGTCCACTTCTCTACACAGCCTACTGCCAGTCCATACAACGTAACCTTTCCTTTTGGTGGCACAAAAAGAAGGACGACCCTTTTCACATAGGTACTCATCTTAACATAAGCAGTAGCCAAACATTTGTTTTTCATTTGTCTGCAAGTCAGAAAAAGAAGCTGCAAGTCCCTACTGTGTAAGAACATGTTACTCATCACCCATGGTTGAACACAGAGTGATTACTGCACTGATGAAAGAATGTGGAGAGAGAGTAGATCCAAACCTTCTGCTGGGTGCTATGAAGTGCTATGTGCATCTTTAAAGTTGATAGCATTCCTGACTAAGTGGGACAGATAAGGGGTGGGAACAAGTCAATGAAGGGATGATAAAGCAGATTCTCACAACTGAAAATGCAGATGCCCAGCACATTTGGAGGTGGTTAGTATAGTGGAAGGAGCACACAGCCCATCAGCACAGAGGAGACCAAAGAGAAAGAAAGTAATTATCAGGGCAGATTAAAGATGTATGTCCTGCTCTAGAAAACAGGTACAACCACATAGAGAACTGGTGAATTCTTATAAATTTTGTGTATGTTACCACAACATGGATGTAGACGGAAGTAACCAACTCCCTCCTCAGGTCTCTAAACCATTTCTACTGAAACTTTTAGGAGGGTCAGCTGGTTGCTACCAGAGCAGATCTGCAGAGGCTGCAGGCGAAAAGCTACCAGCTATTCTGAAATTTACCACATATGCCCTGCCACAGCGGGAAGACATTTGCCCCAGACATTTGTTTAGGCAGCCTCTTCATTGTCTCACAGGTGGTGCTCGAAGCTCAGCTGAACTTGGCTAGGTGAGGGGGACTGACCTCTGTGGTCAGAAGCATGGTGGCAAAGGTTCCCACAGAGTCAACTCAAAAAAGATGACAATATGAAGCTTCAAATATAAATAGGCAGCTGTCAAGGACTTTGTAAAGGGGTGAGAGCTTGTCAAGGAGAAAGCATCAGTGACTAATGCAATTCAGTGAAATGGAACTATTTTTCCTGTTTCTCTCATTCAGAAGCAGGCAGACTACAAAAGAAAGAAAGAGTAAGGTGCTGCAGATTGCTCTCAAAAATTTTATGATCTGCAAGAAGCAGCAGGCAACTGAAGTCTGCAAGACTGGTATCTCCAAGTGGTTACTACCTTTATTTTAAGTGCACACACAGTAACTCAATACACAAGTTAACCGAGACCTACACAAACAACTCAGAGAATTCAGAAAATGTGTCTCCAAACCAGCTGATAGAAGTAAGGCTCCTTCCACGAGCAAGTACCTTGAGTAATGTTCTCCATTTATTCAGACAACTCAAGTCACTACACAATACCACTCAATTTTCTCTTTTCAGTGACAAGCATAAAGACAGCACCTCATGGTTCAGCTAAGGAAACATCTCACAGCACAGAAAAATATACAAAAGAAGAATTCAAGCCAGCAACTTCATACAAGCAGTAAAATCAAAAGGTGAATGAAGGTATCAGACATGGAGTAAAATAGGAAGGTGCATAAAGGTTTTGTTTTGCTGAGTGCATACAGAAAAAGACAACATGCAAAATAATGAATTTCCTAAAATTTCAAGGGAAATTTTGAAGTATTTGCAAAGAATCAAATTAAGGAATGTCAGGAGACAAATAGCAGGAGATCAGCAGTGCCCAAAACAGAGATTGTAACGTTCTCCATGAAAGATTTTCACATATTTTTCAGGAGGTACTCACACACCCCTCTCCTCTGCTTGTCAGATGCCTCAAATTCAGCAGGGAGAATGAGTTCTGGCTATGTGTCTTTTTCCTGTCCCACAAAATTCCTCAGGGGGTGAGCTAACTCTTACAAGTCACCATTTTGTTTTTGTTTTCCACATTCCCTAAAGAAAGGGAAAAAAATATGGCAGCAAGCCAAACTGAAGCATGAACAACATTTTGGAGGGGGGTAGGGAGAGGGAGTGGGAATCTTAAAGTTGTATCAGTAGTTCCAGAGGGGCAACACAAGTCAAGTCTGAAGTTCTGACAGCCAGGAGGGGTTTGGTGTTTTTTAAGGGGCGAGAAGCCAGAAGACGTTGTGTGAAGGTTCAGGAGATGAAATGGAAAATTTTGAGGAAAAAGCATTTAAAGGCAAAGGATAAGGACAGGCTCTTTATTTATAGGAAGACAATTTTTTTCATACATAGAAACTTAGTGATGTGATATGAGCAGACACATCTGTGGATTGCCTAAGTCAAAGCAAAGCAATTTCAACTGCATCTTTCTGATACTGTATACAAAACTGATGGTTTCAGACAGGCTTGAGAGGCTGGAGCACTCAGTACATCCTTCAACTAAGCATTTTAAGCACTACCAAAAGTACCTAACAGCATGGATGAAGGAAGAGACAAACGTTTCAGGCATATTTGAAGAAAACAGTGCCTGCAACTTTCAAACTGGACTTTGAACACAAGGCATCTATATCCATGCTTCAGCTGCACGAAGCTATACAACACTGAGGGAAGATGAATGGACACAATTTCAAGAGACCTTGAGAGAATCCACAAAATCATTTACTTGCAGGTTTGGGGGACTTCATGTGGTCTCTCTGAGCACCTAACTGTACAGTCAGGCTACAGTAGCAACTACATTTGACAACTTTCTCTTGCTCCCCTCCTCTACTTAATAATCAGTGACTTCATTCATATGAAAAATCAGATATTCCCAATGCACAGCAAGAAGCCAGGTGGCCATCAGGCACCACAGGACTGGTCCCTGTCCACATCAAGCACGAGACATGGCTTTACAGAGTTCTGCTCATAAACCTTCCCAGGGCCACTTTCCTTATCACATTTTGCCTGACTTGGTGATTTAATAAAGGAAAAGGCAAGGCGTGTGTATGGCAACATCCAGAGAACATGAAGCCAGTAGCTCTCCAAACATACACTTAAAAGGTAACAGAAGACATCTCTCCCCAGGCCTCCCTAGGAAGGCAGGAGATAAAAGCTGTGTATTACAGCACTTGGTAGCAAAGCAAGGGCTATTCACACCCTCCAATATGCCACACTTCTTTCCCTATAACCATTTTTCTCTCTGCCCTCAAGGCAGACTTCAAAGCAGAACCCAAAAGTAGAAGGAAGAGAAAGGTGGACTATACCCTGTACAGACTCTAAGCAATGTATCAGTGTCCCATGCAAACAATGGCTGGGTTAGAATCGCTTATGAAATATTAAATTTAACAAAAAAATCTTCCACTTTTAAAAAGACCACACAGTCCTTAGCAAAATCCTAAAAGGTGTTGAAAATTACTTTTGTTTCCTCTATGAGGAGAAACCATGATTCAGTTTTACTGTTTTTCAAACATAAATTTATTTGTAAATTTGTATTTTAACATGTTAGTCTTTACTTTTTATTTTAACTTTAGCAACTGTATTTATAAATCTAATTTTACATTTGCTAAACACTTTTAAAAGTAGAGCTACCAAATTGCTCTCCAAGGAGAACCAAGGATGTCAACACAAAGACCAAAGTGGATTTGATCCTCTCCTGGAAGTATAACCAGTTTAAAAGACTCACTGTGCTCCCATTCATATGGGTGTTCTTAATCCAAGATAACTTATCTTATTTCAGTGAGCACTAATTTTGAGCATAACAAAAGGACCTGCAACATAAATGGTGGTTCCTCCTCCAACTCTCTGTTGTCTGGATTTGTTGTCCTGCCAGTTGACCCCTGACCCTCAGCCTCTGGTTTTTACATCTCAGTTAACTTGCACAAGTACCACAAGCAGCAGTAACACACTCTCCTTCTTCCAACAACTCCGTCCTGTTGTCTTCACTGCAGGGTGGGTGCCACAACCCATGGGCTTTGCAGGACATGGTCTGATACTAACACAGCAGCCCTTCTCATTGCCACACTGAGGTCACACTGAGGACTCTCAAAAAGAGTGAGCTCCTGCACCCAAAGACAGAGGCAAGATCCTGCAGCCAAGCAGAGCACTGGCACA